AAATCTAGATGAGGTCTGTGCACCTGAGCAAAGTGATATAAAAGTTGTGGTAAGATGCTCCATCTTCAACAGTAAGAATATGAAGAGGGACGAAGATTTGTCGTTAATTTGAAAGAGGTTGAGAAAAAAAAAAAAGAATGTAAGAGTGTCGACCGAGAGTCAAAAGAAAGAGATTATTGTTGGTTATGGGTTTTCTTTAATGATGGGTATGAGTCGAATCTAATTAAAATCCATTAAAAAGGTGAGAAACCTAAAAACATGTGAGAGAATGCTCTTGGGAAGGAGGAGGGGATCCGATGATATTAGTACTTTATTGAACTCCACCTAACCCATAGTAGGCAACACATAAACATGGTTTTATTACAATAAAATGTGCTTCATTTCAAGCTGTTATATTTATAATAAATCAATTATTCAAACAATTTCACTAAAGAATATAGGCATATTATAGGTGCCATTTTTAAATATGTTCTTTTTATTGTTTCCTGTTTGGAATTGCAATGAAAAGTCTTCCACGGATGCTCTTCCAAGTAACATTAGCAAGGGCCCTAATTCGACAAAAGTCATGTCTCAAGGGAGTAATGACTGGAATAACAAGTATTAAGTGTTTTAATTGTGGATTAAAACATAAAAATAACTTGAAAAAATAAAAAGAAGAAAAACTGAAAAACGAATACATATTTCTTAAGATAAAAAAATTAATAATTAAAAAACTCTGCTCTTGAGAAGATTTTATTTCCCTTCAACGAAGTATACGGCGTCATCCATCTCTCATGGCAATCTCCATCACGAAAGGAGATCATCCATCCGGCGAACAGAACTCATCCATCTCTCATGGCAATCTCCATCTCCGCTTGTGCAACTCGTCACTGGACCAACTCCAGTATTCCTCCAAGTTCCTTTTGCTAAAATTTAAACAATCAACTCTACTTCATTTTCTACAACATTTCATTAATCTCAATCTTATTTTGATTGAAATTTTCAGGTAAACAATTGAAATTCGTTGGTCAATCTGTGGTAGGCCATCTGTCCATGCATCCTTCCATGTTTCTTAGCTGAATTCTTATTTGGGTTTTGAATTTTTGACAAAAATAATCAGCTTTTCTTTATTTGGGTAGAGAGCATTGTCAACTCGGATCATAACGGTGGGAAGAAGAGGTCCCCAGGTGTGCAGTTGCTGGTAGATGGGTATATCGATAAGTTCAGAAACTACTGTCCTGTGGATGATGTTCTAATTCGGTCTTAACCCCAAAAATGCAGGTGCTTTCATTCCCCTTTTCTGTAATTTTATGCCACGAATCTGTTTTTATAGTCTCTAACTTAATTTAGACGATTTTATGCTGGTTTTGTTTATGTAGAGATGTGAGCGCCCAGGTTGATGATGAAGATATGGCTGTCATTAACCATATCAGGTCTGATGACTGGGTTCTCGTCCGGAAAACCCTCCATAGTTTTACTCTTTGTTTTTTTATTAGTGTCATTCTTGGTTTGGTTTAGGGAGGTTTGGAGATATTGTTCTTGTTGGCATTTATCCTTGTTTTGGATCTTGTGTTTATAGGTTGTGATGTTGGATGAGCATGGATTGGATATAGGGTCTGAGCGGTTTGCTGAATTAGTAGGAGATGCAGGGAATAAGGTAGGGAACTACAACTCACTAAAAGGTTGCTGAGAATGATTTTAATCATGTGTGAAATTGGATTTCTTCTTGGTATCAATCTTTCTCTTTTCCTTGACAAGAATTATATATAACAATTCAATTTCTGATCTTGATATATCAGAGATAAAACTCATGGCTAAATATAAGCAATTCAATTTCCAATGATTTCATGTGCTTTGATTTGCTGGAGAAAATAAGGTCACCTGATTGAAATCAATTTGGCTTTGTTCCTTAGGTAGGCTTTAATTAATCAAGAAAGTCATTGCTAGTGATCTTGTCAAAGGCATCTTACTTTTTGGTTTACAAGGTTGGGTCATTTCCAAATTATATTTGAAGCACTTTCTTCTTCATAATAATAAATTATACATGTTATC